TAGTACCGATTAGGATAATACAGATACTAGTAGCTAGACAGACGGGAACGATTAAGATCCTCCTAGCGCCGATTAGGATAATAGGGGTTTAGACGATTCAGACGGTAAGAAGTAGGCGACTATCGTAATTTCGAGCGGTAATAAGAGCTCGGAATACGATCTAGATACTGATCCTAGCGTTTAAACTAGTTATCCTCTAGCTAATAAGGAGAATGCTTAGGACGATAATACGGTACCCCTAACGATAGAGGATAAATATCTCTAGGCTCTCCTCGATTATATTAATACTTAAGAAGAAGAAGACGAGGAGATAGCTTCCGAGAATTCAGATTTTCCTTTTAGGTAACTAGGTATACCGCTTAGTCAAGCAGATTTTCAGTATAGCGACGAGGATATAGGTACCTAGGATTAAGATATCTCGCTTAGCTAAGACTATAATCCTTTCGATTATCTAGATTTAGAGGAGACGGGTCCTAATTCTCTCTAGGAGAGTCGACTAGATATAGAGAGAGAGGATAAAGAAGAGGAGTCGTAGTAGGAGTTTGACGAGGAGATAACAGAATTAGAGGATATAGTAAGAGTAGTATATACGGTAGCTATAGATCAAGCGAATAATCGGGGTACGTAAGAATTCGTAGCTAGGGGAAGTATTAATAAGATACTAAGTATACTTATAGAAGAGCCTATTACCGAACGAGACAGACTGAAGACAGAAATTTCAGCTTGCTTTATCCTTAGAGCTACTTATTTAAGAACCCTATTATTAATAAGGACGGAGCCGGCTTTCTAAGCGGCCTAGCGAAGAATAGAGATATATAAGGCCTAGAGAGTAAGGCAGTAGTATATAGTAATAGAAAGTCGGTTTAAATACTAGATACGCGTTCTAGCTAGGCTAGAGAAGGAGATATTAAAGTATTTACTATAAGCCTAAAATCTGAAGTAATTTGGTTTTTCTAATTTTCGTAGTTAGCAGGTATAGTCGGTAGGTATTATTAGCTATAGAAGGAGATGTCGAAGTACTTACCGTAATCTTCTAATCTAAATTAATTTGCTTTTTCCTAATTCTCGTAGTCGGTAGGCATAGTCGGCAGCTATTGTTAGCGAGTTTAGGCAGTATAGTATATACGAGGCTTATTACTGTTTAAGAAGCGCTTACTATATTTATTCTATATCTAGAAGAGGTTTTACGTAATACCTATCGCAATACCTATTAGGTATACCTATTAGGTTTTTTCCGTTAGGTTGTACCTAGCTTATAAGCTAGGTACCTACCTTATTTGCGGGGTTGGGTATTAACGTTAGGTTGTACCCAACCTATACCTAACCTAACCTATAACGAGGCCTAGTCCGCTTTAAGGCTTATCTGCTTAGACCTTAGTAGTATAGTTGCAAATAATGTCGGATATATTCGATATATATCCTTAACGAGCCTAGAAGCGACTTTATCCTCCTTGAACCTATTAGCTAGCGCTAGCCGGAGTGTTTAGCGTAGGTTCTCCTTTATTAACAGGTCCTTTTCTAGGTGTCTGTAGTTAGTGCTATAAATCCACTTCTTAAAGCCGCGGTGTTTATCCTTACTAAGCAAGCTATTGCAGTTTACGGTAAGGCCGTATTTATTAGCTATTGTAGGGTAGTAAACAGTAATATAGATATTAGGCAACTTAGTATCCTTTAGGTATTACTCTGCCTTCTTCCCGAGATCTACTATACCGCTCGCTAGTTGCCTGTCGATATCTATTAGTTCGGTCTAAGAAGGTGTTATAGGCCTAGATAGAGTAGGTATTACAGATTTCGAGCGACTACGACGCCGCTTATCGAAGGCTATCGACTAGGATAGGGCAAAAAGCAACTACTAGAGATTTGTACGATAGCTATAAACGATAATATACATATTCTCTCGGTCGGCCTCGCTTATAGATAAGCTTATTAGGACTGAATTACTCCGCGTAGTACCTACGAACTGACTAATAACGAATCTGACTAGTTCTGCTATACTATTCGCCTCGAGTACCTATACTAGATATAGTCGGAGATAATTCCTATATAGCTAGTAGCGTAGTAGTATAGGAATTATAATTGACTAGCGGGTATACTTAGACATACTATAGCTCTTTAGGTAGTATAGTAGACCTTAGATACGGGGCTAGCTTAGTAGAAACGGGAATGTCTATAGGATTTCGGTATATTCTCTTAAGGCCTTAGGCGTTAGGATCCTATCGAGGAGCAGGTTATGAAGTATACGCGTTAGCCCCTATAATTTAGAATGCCCTACTTCTAGTAGAATCCCTTAGAGAAGATTACGAGCTAGGGCAATAGTAGACAAAACTGTTAATAGAGGATCCGGATCTATATCCTATTTAGTACTATATTCCTCGCGCTCTCTCTTCGTCGGCAGGTTGTTTATATCCTTGCGTATCTCGAGTACGGTATAGTAGTAGCGGCCTTTAAGGAAGATGTCGTAATTAAGAGTACTACGGTTATTAAGATAAATATAGTATAGACGATATCCGAGGTTCGCCTTTTGTGTTTTCATCCCGGCATTCTTCTGCTACTATAGCATATTACTAATAAATATATAGGTAAATGCGACGAGCAAGACTTTACTAGTACCTAGGATATAGACTTCTATACCGCGGTCGAGTGCTATAAGGAGGCCGAGAGCCTTAACGATATTAGGGAAGTTAGATCTATATAGGCTAAGAGTAAGTACAAAGCAGTTTGTACGCCGGGTACGCTTACGGGTATTTATCGCAGCCGGAATATAGTACATCCCTATTAAAGTACGGTATACGTTACGGTAGAGTCCGAACGTATCGATAAAGGAGAGCAAAGGCAGTAATATCGTCGTACGGCTAGTTAAACGTTCGTCTAGTAACTCGAGGTATAACCTACCGAAAGTCTATATCTCGAGCTCGCTACGGAGTAGGTAACTTAGACATAAAGGCGTAATCGAGATTAGAGAGGACCTATCGGCGTCGATTATACGGCGAACTAGGTATTTGGCAGCAGTCCCTTCCTAGTAGGCTTATAGACGTAGTATAAGTTTAGTATTGCTAAAGATATAATTAAGGTCGAACTCGACGTCGAAGCGTTGGCCGATATATGTCTCGCTATAGAAGAGTACGTTATTCTAGGAGAGCACTAGCTTATACTCTAATAGAGGTAGATCGAACGTAATACCTTATAGGTCGTCTATTAGAAAGACTTCTTATACCTAGAGTATTGTCTAACTACGCGCTACTGCAATATAGCGAAAGTCTCGACTAATACCTAGTATTACCGTAAAGCCCTCTCTCCTACTACCGTCCTCGAGTAGACGATCGGATAGGCCCGGCTTACGGTAGGTCGCGGCGTAGCTCCGCAGTAAAAGGGGTAAGATAGGTAGAGGTCCGGAAGGACGCGGAGATGCCCGTAGGTAGCGGGAATAGTAATATTAGAAGACAAAGCGTACTGTAGGGTAACGACATCAATTATAGTAGAGTAGGTATCTATATATCTACGTCCTGATTATGTCCGTCCTCTCCTCCGTCCTAAAAAGAAGAAAACTACCCTATATAGCTACCCGCCGGGAGTAGTACGGCCCTCCCGGGCCGTCCGGCTCTCGGCTCTGCCCCGACGCCCTACGTAAAAGAAATACGCCTAGCCGCTTAATATACCCTCCTCTACCTATATGTCTGTCCTATAGACATAGGTATAACAAAACCCCCCCCTATTTAACGATTACGTACAGAAAAGCAGACCTAAACGACCCGTCGAAAACAAGGCACCTAACCGTAAAAACCTAAACCCTCCCTATATTCGGAAGCTCCCGGTTAGGCCCCGGGGGCCTAACTAACGTACTACCTATTCTATCTAGGATACATCGCCCTTAAGTGTAGTACCGGAGCCTTCCTCTATATACTTAGAGTTAAGAGTAGAAAAATCAGGCTACGGTCGAAACTTAAAGTTACCTTTATAGCGGAAGTAACTAGCGTTTCCGAAGAGCAGTATTTCAGAGCTGCGAATACGGTCGAAAACCTTCTTATACCTCTTAATAGCGTTCGCCTACTATTTGAGCTTATACGCCTCCTACTAAGCAAGAGACTCTATATAAGCAATATAGTTCAACTCGTTGATAACTTCTATATCGGCCTAAGATTTGCGACTAACTAGAGCGTCTAAGATTAGGCTAAGGCTATCTAACTAGGCTATAGTAGGAAATCGGTACGGAATTGGACTATATATATTAGGGTAGCCCGACGGGCTAGATAGTAGAGCAGTTATTGTTCGGTATACCTCCGCGATCTACTAAAGGGTCCCTATTTTCGGGTTCTCTATCTCTCTAGTTTCTATATTAGTAATAGCTACAAACTAAGGGAGGATCGTACGTCGTACGCCCTACGAAGGTAGCGCGCTATAAGGAATACGGGGGTCGGTAATACGGACGCTATATTGCTAGACCGGAGTTAGCTACTAATCTAGACCTATCTTCTTTCTTAGCTTAGGCCCGAGCTCCTTGTCCGTAATATTGTAGATCCGGCTATTCTATAAACGACCGGCGGCGCGGTTTACCTCTACCTACTTACGAAACGTCTCGTTACGGTACATCCCCTAAACAAGTATAGTATAGTCCTTATAAGTCTCGTTATCGAACGATACTAAGCCTTAGATCTAACTAGTACCTTTGCCTGCCGTAAGATCTATAATGTTATAGTCTATATGCTTGAAGCTATTACGACTTATATTCTCGTTACCCTTGTCGTCGCCGTACTAGTACTTCGCGTAATAAGGATAAGACACTAAACGGTAATTACCGTCTGCGCGCAAAGAAGCGTACAAAGCCTAGTATAAGATATCCTAGCGGACGAGCTGTTGAACTACGCTATATATCTACGACCTGTTCTACCCTAGGTTAGAGCGACTATTTATACGACGGAGGTACTACGAGTATATATCAAACTTATATTCGATATCCCCGAAGATCGTCTCGGTATACCTAAAAACCCCCTCCTTCGTAACTAAGCCGATAAGATCGAACGTAGCCTAATCGCTAGCGTTAATCGTAAATAATCGAAGCTTAGTAACCAAGGTTTCTACGTTAGGCGTAGCGGAGGGAGTAACTAGTATTCCTATATATATTCGAGATAGGAATGTATATAGACCAAGTACGTTACCTACGTGCTTTGGACGGTAGGCTAGAGAGAAGAATTCCGGGTATTAATACTAGTATTCTAGAAACTAGCTATTAATATAAGCTCTACAGACTTCGGCAATACGAGTAGTTAGTAGGGCTATAGCGATGTTCGACTTAAGTCCGAACCTACGGCTCGTAAACACCCTAGTATAGTGCCGGTATAACGGAACTAGGTCCTCCTCTACTATATATAGCTAGACGCCTCGGTCGACGATATCCTCTAGCTATTAATAGAGGGGTATAGCTATATATAGGCTAATAAGATATAGATTGGTCGTATCCGGGCAAAGAGTATAACGGTATATAGACAACGGCGTATATATACAAGACGTAACTTGTCCCCCCTCGGCGAGTACGTCCTCGGTTAGCTCTTCGTTAAAGGTAAACTCCCTAGTCTAGTTATCTACCTCCTTGCTAGTCGTATCCTCGGTCGGCTCTATCTCCGTAGTCGGGATCGTAGCCTCTAGGACCGGCTCTATACGGCCTGTCCCGGTAAGGCCCCGGAGGCCTAACGGATAACGCGTATTAATAGGGCTCTAACTAGAAGTACTATCCGGTACCTATAGTATCTCCGGCGTTAATAGTCGTAACGTACGTTAGCGTTTGCTCGGGGGTTCTTTATAGTCCGGTAATAGGTCCGGCTCCCTACGGCGTCCCTAGTATAGACGGAGTTAGGCTTGCTCGGACAATAGCAGTAGAGGTAGTAGTACAGATAGCCCCGAAGGTGTTAGCGTAGGTTTAATAAAGCCCTTACTTACGATCTTGTAAAAGTCGCCCTCGTAGATAAACCTAAATCATATCTATAGGATGTATTGTTCTGCCTCCCCCCTAGGTTCCGCTAATTGCTTGTCGGCAGGTAGTATATATATACGAATACAATCGCCTCCCGTAACCTCCGGTATCTTCAATCGACTAGTAACGGGAGTAAGCAATCGCTACGCTACTACTTCCGCGAGAGCGCGTAGTGTTTGCCTATAGTTAGAACTAAGAGCCGCTAGGCTGCCTAGATCGTAGGCCTACGAATAAGTACGTAGAACCTCCTATATCGTCGGACTAGTAAGGAAGCTCTAGGCGGCAGCGATATCCCTACCGAACTATCGGTTAATAACGTTCTAGCAAGCCGTCCTTCGTCGATTTCGGGCCTCCTTTCCTCGATCTACTATCTTCGCAAAACCGGGGAATACGTCTGCGATTAGTTTACCTTCTAGGATCTCCTAGTCCGGAGCTATAGCTACGAACTTCTTATAAATCGATATATATATAGTATCGTAACTAGTTAAGGTTGCGTCGTAGAGTTAGTATACTGTACGTACTACTTCCGTTCTTACTAGCGTATCGAGAGTTAGCAATAGGGCTACGAGCGCGTCTAGGTCGGTTACCCTACGAAGGATACTCCTTACCTCCGCCGAGCATAATAACGTATCTATCCTTACTACTATAATTAAGAACGATATCGAGCTTTGTCTCCTCTTCCGAACAGTTACCTAGTATTCTAACCTATCGCCGTCGTCCGTCTCGGGTTAGGTAGGCATATTGCGGTTAGCTATAGTAGGACCGATAGTTACGCGCGGGGGCGTAGTACTACTACTAATATAGGCGTAGGTTGTAGTACAGGCGCGGAATCGATAGTTGCGCGCGAGCGCGACTCCGTTGTTAACGTAGGCGTAGGTCGTAGTATAGGCGCGGCTCCTTTCGAGGTAGTAGAGATAGTAGTTATATAGAATATAGGCCGGGGGGTACGGCGGGTAAGGAGGTAGGTTGAAGAAGAAGAGTAAGTTCAAAAGGAAGAAAAGGGCACTCTTATCCTCTAAATAACGCGAAAGTAACTCGCGCTCGCGGAATAACGCGAAAAGTAACTCGCGCTCGCGGGAGTGCCGGCGCGCTTACGGCAGTACTATAGCAAACAAATAACGCGAAAAGTAACGCGTCTAGGGAAGTGCTACCTATATAGGCGAGATAAGTAAGGATAGTACAAGAATGCCGATATAAAGTAGTAGTTAGGCATCGCGGGGACCCTTAGATATAAGGACCGTAGTAAGGAATATAGTATACGGTATATGCCGTAAGGGGGCGAGGACAACGCTAGGAGGTAAAGCGAAAAATAATAGATCAAAAACCTTCGGACGGATTAGAAACCTTCTAGCCTAACTATTACTAGGTACCGGGGCGCCCGGCCGGCAATGTAGTTATAATCCTAGGGTAGCCAAACTCGGACGGTACTAACCCGCTACTATTAAAAGCGTAGGGCGTATCCAAAACGACGCCTATAGAGGGCCTAGTTATAGATAAAGGATTAGACGGCGGCGGCGGCGGGGGGCCTAGCTATAGATAAAAGACTAGACAGCGGCGGTAGCGTAACAAATAGAAAAAGAATCGAAAGAATAGCGAGTACGCTACTCCCTCCCCTAACTATACGACGACGAAGAAGGAGAGTAGGTGTCTATTAAGCAGTACGAGCCCGTACTACGGAGAGAGATACTAGGAAGCGGAGATACCCGGTCGGCGTACAGAAAGTTGAAAAAGCAGGGTAGGGAACTAGTATCTAGTACTAACCCTACTCGTTAGAACTAGTAATACTGCCGCCTTTATCTAATAGGCCGTTAAGTCGACAGAGTTTAAGAGAGTCCTTATTATAGGTATTCCGATAGACAATA